CTCAAATTTGCTTCCTTAAGTTAGACTTTCGAAAAAGTTGCAGAAACTCCAACTTAAGGACATTAAATGATTGGGCTCTCGAATAATTGTGTTGGCTCTAGTACTTGAATGATGATCGGGCTCTCGAAAAGTTGCATTAGCTCTGGTATAATGACTTGACCAGTCCTTGTGTCGAGTTACTCGTGAGGGGACGTGTTGGAGAATAGTATCTCACATCGGTCACATGACAAAATAATATACAATTAATATATGAGAGTATCTGCCCCTAATATTGTCAAGATCTTTTGTGATAAAACTCAACACCAAGTAATAGAAGGTTAAATCGTGACAATAATAGACCGTGCTTTGGCCTATAAAGTTTCACATTGTACAAGCACGTGCTTTGTAACCATGCATGGGTGATCAACAATTGGAATCTTTACATGTAGGATATTTTTCATAGTGAGTTTTAACGAAACACTTTCGGTACTGTTTATTTTTAACAAAAAAAATCACATTTTCACTTTTTTCAATAGAATTCACTACATTTTTATTTTTCATTTTTCATTAAAGCTAAAATTTTTATGAACCTTTCGTTAGTTTTCTCTTTTCATATCTTGAAGGGAACAATGTCAAAGATCGTCGTATAATGACAGCCGCATCTGCCGTCCGCAACCTGTCGTCATGATTTCCGATTGGATACGACCCTGTCACGTGATGGGCCAAATGATCTTTATATTTTCTTTTATTTTTAGCGTGGAAATATAATAAAAATAGTTAGGGTTTCAGGCTAGCAGCTAGACGGGGACGTGTTTGAGAGATCCAGAAAAAACCATTGGCTGGAAGTCTGGAAGTATGTTTCGGATCTGCAGCTGTCTACCAAGGTCAATCACGTACGTCCATCTCTTGCCAAAATGAAGAAATGAAACTGGCCAAATGGTTCAGCCCATTTAAATGGGCCACAAACCCATAAACTAGAGCAAGCGAGAAAAAGGAAGGCCGAGTCCTCCTACTCGTATGACTGAAACATTAAAAAAACAAGCAAAAAAAAGAGTACATAAGATTTGAATTCAAAAATGGTCAGCGGAGAAGCAGATTCCAAGAAAAAACATTCAAAATGTTATTTATATTATATTTTTGTACCACATTTTCATACCATCTTAGATGACATTTGATGTAGACAATCACATCATTTGAATTAATTAGATTTTTTAATTTAGTTAATTATTTAATAAACTAATAATTAAGAAAAACTAATTAATTAAATGATGATTATGGTATACGAAGAGTCTTTTTCCTTCATTTCCTTGGGTTTTACAAATTTTTCAAATGATGTGGCTGTCCACATCAAATGTCATCTAAGGTGGTATATAAATGTGGTATAAAAATATGGTATGAATATCATTACTCTAATAAATATTCAGATAGCTCCTCTCAAGGATACCAATCTCTTTACTGTAAGAATCCCATTCCACTATCTATAAAATGTTGCTTCTTTTTTTGAAAATTCAGATTTTTGTTTTTTCTGGTTTTGAAGTAGATAACTTTTGGGTATAATATTATTATGTGTGTAAAATATGTTGGTGAAGATTATGGTTGTTAATTGAGTGAGTTTATGTTTGAGGTATTTTCAGAGTTAATTGTTAATTGTAATTGTGAAGTGCGAAGTGTGAAGTGACCCCCATGTATAGAAGACTTACCTTTGTGAACCTACAAGTTGGGTAGCCAACAATATTCCCCCACTCTAGCACCCGGGAGCAATGTGTATAGGATTTTATCAAAGGGCCTCGGCAATGTATATGTGCGGAACCATTCCTTATAAAGCACTTGATACTCTTCTCACCCACCGTTATGGGCTCCAATTTTGGCTCAATCAAAGCCTCACCAACAGTCCTGAGGATTCTTCTTCCCTGGAGCCTCTGGTTGGAGGAGAAATCCGTCTTCTATGGTTCAAGGAATAGTGTTGTGGAAGAGGTGAGTTATGTTTTCGTCATACACCATATTGCTTTTATTCTCAACTATTCACTTTCATTTTTATACTCAACTTTTTTTATGATGCAAAATCTTCTGTCTTGAAATAGTTTTGCAGTAGTGGCTTTTTTATGGAATATGCATTGACTGTCAACCCTTACTTAAAATTCTGCAGGTGCCTCCCACTGAAGGAATGGCTTTTCTGCACATTCACGGGGACAAATGCTCGCTGCATGAAGCCCAAAACGTTAAAAAGGGTATCAAGTATGTGTTTCGTTCGGATGTAGTATGTGCTTGATGTTTTGTTACATGTATATAACCTGAAACTCATAACCAAAAACACACAGTAACGGAAATGTGTATTATCGTCGTGCACTGTTTCATTTCATCTGAATTTTCTTTGTTCTTAATATATTACTTGGAGTAAACACTAGGTACATATCACAAACTAGTAGCAAAAAGTAAAAAAAAAAAAAAAAAACGTAACCAAAGGATCGGGATACCGTTTTTTTTTTTTTTTTTTTTTTTTTTAACCAAGTACGTTCTTCACTATATATAGAAGAAACGTTAAGATACGCTAGAAGCAGAGCACCACTACCTCTGGACCTGTGCGGGCAATATAGGCTTAGTTTTCTTTGCTATTCTTATTTTAGTGAGGTAAGAAAGAACTTCTCCCGCCTGGTGATATGTGTCCAATGAGTTGATGATCTCTGTGTTTTCTGAGTCGAATTGGTAAGAGTTGGAAGCACATTGTAGATTACCCGTGGAGATCTCACCACATGTTTTTATTTCTCCATATAATAGAACCCGATAGAATTGGCACCTGAGTTATGTGTGGTCCGTTGATCTCCACACGGAACAACTTCTTCTCTTTAACATCAGTGAATGAAAGTACACATGGCTCCACATTAACCTTTATAGAATCAGGCATATCAATGCTAACATTGTAGGTTGTCTTGAGTTTGCCAACATTTGCAACACTCATGAAAATTTCCCTTGATCGTACCATCTTCTATAGCTAGAGCAAAAGAGGGATAGTTGAGGTCCTATGCCCTATCGTATGACCAACATTTGTCACCCGGAATTTTATTACTGTTGTTGTGTTGTAGCTTTGCTTGCACAGAAAGTCGACATAATCTTTCTCAGATGCATAAAAAACTAGCTCGGGATCAACTGCCTTGGTTGGGTTGGGAAGACCCAATCCATAAGCAAATTCTCTTTCATTTTTGTACTTTTTTTGGGTCCACGACATATGCTGTATTGAGAAAACCTAATGGGTAAAGAAGTTTTGGAAATTACTGAGTAGATTGTTTGACATACCTTGTAGTCTTAAGTGCAAATTCGATTGCTGGAAGAGACCAGCGTGGGTGTGCAGCCTTCACGATGCATGGCTGCTGCTCTGGTTACATGTGGGCAAGAAATTGAGATTCCAGAGTCCATATGGTATTTGGCACTCCTTGTGTCCTTGGTGTAGATCGAAGATCTTGGAACCGCTAAACAGACCGCAAAGATGCGAACAAACGGCACAAGTGTAAATAGGGTACGTACGGTGTGTATAGTGATAAACCATGTCAGCAGTCCAATCCACATCAGCAATCCAGTCAGCCAAACTTGATAACAGCAACACCATTTCCCGGAGAAATTTTTCAGTGTGACCGGTATACGTGGTACACCACGTGTTACTATACAAATTATGGAATATGTGTGCTAAAAATTTAATAACTTAAAAAATAAAATTTCCCACCAGTCCTATTAAAACACGTGATGTACCATGTGTTCTCGTCACAACTAAAAATTTCTCCATTTTCCGCGTATAACATTCAAACCTGCAAGTAGAGTTTGGATAAACATCAACCTCTTCTCTATCAAGTCTGTTGCCCAGTTTTGATCATGTTAATTATCCAATATCTTGTAAATGTTTTGATATAGGACATAAATCTCCTTGTAACTGAATACCTTGTAATCTCTGTAAATGGAATGCATTGGCATCACTCATGGTTAACTGAGTTGAGCCTACAAACTGCCCTGTGTTCAAACATTCTTATTTTCCAAGTTGATATCTTTTATATAGATCCTCCCGTATTTAGCTGAATCGAATAGTTGCCTCTGGATTCCTGAGATCTCTATGGTAATGAGTAACTAAGTTATATATGTTGCCAAAACTTTTACATAGGTTAGTTGATTATTTTCTTCGAAGTTTTATAGTCCAATACTTTGAAAATTTCTTCTGGGCAGATGAATGTTGTTATTGCAAGGGGAAGAGAGAAGTCAGGATCGTCAACAGAACTGAAAAGACATTACGACACTGACTCCGTCTTTCGTGAGAATGCCGATGCCGCCGTTTGATCGGAAATTACATAGAACAAGTTTTCCCGGTACTCGTATATTCAACCAATTGACTTAACAATACAAACACTTGTGATTTATCAGCATCTCCCTCTAATATTTAAGGGCACTCGTGTGGGAAGCCTCATGTAATTTTTTTTTTTTTTCAATCCTGCTATTGGAGAGCAAGTTGCATGGATCAAGTTCACTATCACATGGCATTTCGATCCAACAACACATTGTCATGTAGAAAAATTTGCATTTGGCAATGCATTATTGAACAAAGAAGTATTTCTCGTTCTATTGGCAACCCACGACAATTCAGTCTTCATTAATTTAAGTAACCAAACGATATAACATGTGTACGTTTACATGTATATATTATACACACACAATCATTTAATCTAGTTTCATCCAGTCTTCATTAAATTTGAGAATTTCATAAATTCAAATTTGATATGAGATAGATGTTTGTATAAAATTCTCAAAAAAAAAAAAAGTGTAATTATGCCTTCTATGAAAATATATAAATCCGTCGAAGTCCATTGTGAGCCCTTATGTATCATATAAATGATTATTACACCTTTTTTTTTTTTTCTTTCACCCATCTCTCTCTTTATTTATGATCATTAGATTAAAAAATCAAACAAAAAAGAAAACCCAAATATGATTAAACACGGGTGTGCAATGAAAGAAAAAAAAGTGTATGACGTGTTAAGGTGTGTGCAGAAATTACCTATAAGGAAAATAAATTTTATTTTCAATACAAGATCAAAGTTAAACAACAGAAATATAAATCTTTGATCAATTACTCTTTCGTGATCATATAATACTGATCAATTCACCACAAGGCAATTCAGTCTCACTTCACCATCCTCAATCACCCCAACATTTCCAAGATTTACCATTGAAGCTGCAAACTCCTTGAAGAACACGCTTTGATCATTGGCAAACGACTCTACAATCCATCTAGTCCTGTAATTACTAAACAACGCTTGATCCGATCCAAACACGCCCTTACCTGCCACCAATTGCTTGTGGTAATTGTTATCAAAAGTTGAGGAAGTTGAATCCAACAACTCTCCGGCAGTGGTATCCCTGTTTGGTTTAGGGCATTTGTTTCTTAGATTCTGAGCAAATTCATTGTTCATGGTTGGGTCGACATCGTGTACTGAACTAAAATTCCGAAGCCGGGATTCGAATGAAGAACAATGTGAGAACCCTAGAGTGTGGCCACCAGATAGAGCAACCAAATCTTTAACACCTAAACCTTTCTTAGCAAAGCTTTGAATCAATTGGGATACATTGATTGTTGGAGCTGGTAAATTGATGGTCTCATTAGCTTTCGACACCCCTCCGTCTTTCCTTCCTTTTAGCACATTCCAAAACGGACCTCCGGACTGACAAAAGTGAATGTACGCACGTCAGGTTCTTCTATATATAAGCATTTGTCTCACAACATGAGAAATACTGCAACGATAACAGTACTAGCTGTACACTTTCAGATTAGCGGATAGTATATACGTAGCTAGGAAATTGCGTGCATACATACCATGATCACTACATCTTTTGCGGCAATGCCAACGATATCAGCACAAGAAACGGTGTGTGGACATGCGGCTTCTAGCTTGGTTTTGGCATCGTCGATCACATAGAATGATCGGACTGAGATGTTGGGAGGGCCATCTTTCTCTGCTTGGTTTCCTGCGGTTGAGTCTAGTAGCAACGACGCATCGCATCCCTAAACCAACATAGATTAGTTCTACACAACTTTTATACAATATATAGACCAAGCTTCTTAGCAGGGATCTCGTTCCACTGTTCTCGGAGTAGGATGCTGTAGTACAACTATAGTGCTTATATAGTTACTAAGTATTGATCACATAGCTAGTGATTATCCATGATTTAGTGTTTTTGCCTTTTTATTTTATTTTTTATAGCTCTACATTATAAAGGGATGATATGTAGGCAGTACATGGTCATTATACAGGCAACTTGAGATTATTTTTATCCTGTTCCATGAACAGTGAAAGGGAACCCTTCTAAAAAAAAGGACTTGTATATCTTAATGCGAGAGAGAGAGAGATTGTACCCTTATGAAACAATCATGGAAGAACATCCTTAAGATACGAGCTGGGACTTTAGGGTCATGCATGGAAGCATTATACACCGCTTGTAATATGATTCTCTCAGCTTGTGGACACGTTTGATCATAGTAGTGAGCACTGAGCGCTCCTTTTGATTCCCCTAGTTGAAGGCAGTAAAATGAATGCATGGAAGAGGAAGATAGTTTTTGGTGCAAACACAGCCATTATCTCAGGGACAAATTGAGATAGGAATTAGGGTTTAGATTTGAAGGTGCTGATAGAAAATTTTGATGGGATCGATATATATAACAAGTATATATACATTTTCAGGATTTGATGTATATTATTATATGCATATTGATCGTACTTTTAAGTTACTAAATAGAGAAACTATCTGCAGAATTATAATTTGTAGTACTATAACTTTGACCCTGCTTTTGGCATGTACTGTGTGCTTTGAAACCAAGTCTATCCACCTAATTAAGCTGCTGTTCTTGGTCCTTGGAGGATCACCGTTTTGTTGGATGGCTTAAACTCGAAGATTATTCCAAAAGAAACAAATTTCAGATTTGAATATTGTTATAAGTCTGATAAAGTTGTTGTTGGCTTATATCTATCATGGTTGGTTTATGCGTGCGGTTGGTGAGACAGTGGGGATAATGTACAAGCTCGTAGTAGTGCAAATTATTATACATAACCTACTAAAGGGATTTTTTTTCCATAAAAAAATAGAAACTAGGGAACATTCTTATTAATTTCTTGCGACTCATCGTAAATGCAAAGAAAATAAAACAAGAAATAGGGTGAATTTACTTCGAACTCATTTGTTCATATCAAAGGCCAAAAGGACTTATAGTTGTGCCCGTCCAGGCAGCCCGGAAAGATGCGAATACAAACCATACCCTTAGATTTTAGAGAACTTTAACAAAAAATTATCGATACTGTTCACTTTAACGAAAAATCACATTTTTACACTAAAAAGTCAATTATGGTATTATTCATTTTACCTTTTATTTTGTCATTTTCGTTAAAATTCAAAGTTTTCAAACCATTTTCATTAGTTTTCCTTATATTTTAGTCCGACTCACCTTCATTGATCACATCTCTTTGTGTTTGGTATATTAATAGGACCATCCAAGTACAAAAATATAAGCATAGCAAGACCGAGTCATTAGTTAAGTGGACTTAAACGAATATTGGCTTTTTGAGCATGACCAAACTACATGATATTCGGATTCTTAAAACTCTTTTGGAAATACATTTAAAATGATTGCAGCACTTTTATGAAAAATAATTTTAGAACTAATCAGTAGTAAAAATGCTAGTGAATCTTGCATAAAACACTTTAAGTGTTTTTGAATCCAAAAAATAATTGAATCGAAAGCATTTTAGTCATTTTAAAAAAAAATTCAAACTTGCCTTTAAACTTTTATTGGCACTCATTAGGAATAAATTCTGACATATATATAACAACTATTTTTTCTACCATACTTTTCAAGTGATTTGGTCATAATTTTTTTTTCTTTTTTCGCAAATTATTTTCTTTCTGACGAATCCTCGTGAGATTATAAATAGTAATGTTAGAAAGATTAAATTTGTAAATAAAATTTGGAAAGCTAAAGGATATAAAAATTGATGATTAGTTTATTAGTTACACATTGATAAATGTGTTTATTCTTATTAGTGATATATCATTTAATTTGTGAATTTAATTTCCTAATTTAATCCCTTTAGACCATCTCCAACAATGGGCTAAATGCCAAATTTCCCCCCAAATTTCCCCCCCAAACCATCTCCAACCCATGCTAAAACATTGGGCTAAATGCCAAATGTTAAAGTTGGGCCAAATTCCCCCCAAAATTCCCCCCCCGCGCGACTGGACTCGCTGGCCCAAAGGCCAGTCTCGGCCCGTTCACTCGCGTACGCGCCCCACGCGGTGCGCTTGCAGACGTTGCCCGACAGGGTGGGCCCCGCTGTCAGCGGGTTGTCGGCCACCCAGCTGAAGTCCAACGGCTATTTTTGCAATCCAACGGATGTGTTTCAAGGACCGTTGGTTGATCCAACGGTCCAAATTCAAATTTGATTTTTTAAAATATGTTATTTTAAAATACATTGAATCCAACGGCTGAGATCAAATATAATCAAATCTAACGGTAAAAAAAAAGATCTAACGGCCCAAATTTAAATCTAACGGTTAAAATAATTAAAAAAAAATATTTAACTCAAAATTCACCCAAAAACTCTATAAATACCTATGTATTTGTTCAAACATCCACACAAAACTCAAATTTCTCTTACAATTCTTCCAATTTATCTTTCCACCATTTCTTTCCATTTCCAAATTGTTCAACATGGCAAGAGAGCATATTAGAGGTCGTAATTGGACTTGTGAGGAAGATGTTGCTCTATGCTTGGCATGGGTTTCTGTTAGCGAAGATGGTGCAGTTGGCACTAATCAAAATAAGAAGGTTTTGTGGGATAAAATCATTGCAAAGTTTCAAGAAAACTGCAATGGTAGCAGGCGGGATGGTGGTGGTGTTTATGATCGATGGAAGACTATCAACAAAGCATGCACTTTATGGAAGGGAAGCTTGGATTGATAAAGCATCCATTTTATCATTTATCCAACGTACTAGACAAAATACTTTGCACAAAAATCCTACATATTTATGGGAAATTTAAAAATGGTTTGGTGAATTGAAAGTTAGCCTAGGGTTGAAAGATTGGTAAAAGTTGACGGCTTGCTTTGTGGGAAATTTAGTGATTTTTCAATATTTATCGGAATTTAAATTTTTTTAGATTAAAATGTTCATAAAATTAATTTACGATAGTCTACATATTTATTTTTTTTAAAAAAATTAATTTAACAAAAAAAATAGCATAAGTTCATTATTTAATAATCCCGGGCTAAAATTTTAGGCCAGAACGGTTGGAGCAGAAAAGTTGTTTCTGGGCTAAAAGCTAAATTTTCCGGGCTAAAAAATTTGGCTTTTAGCCCAACCATTGGAGATGGTCTTAGTACTACCGAGCATGAAATATTAAGCAATTTAAAACAAAACAAGGAAATAAAAAAGGTCAGAATTTGGAAAGCATGTGATATGAGTGTTCTTGATGATCACGTGGCATGTTCTGATTGCTACTATCCTTTTCATCAAAATGAACGACCCTGCAGATGATCATCTGCATGCAAGCCCTAATCTGAAGGTACTGAACCCACAAAACAAGACTCAACAACGTGGCAGCATGTGCATGGGTCATGATGTGTATACAAATTCCAGAACCGTTGATTGGATTCCCTTCCCCTATAAATAGATAGATAAAGCATTGCGGAGGGTCCCCCTCAGTGGTAGGGCTCGCAAGGAGAAAAAGGAGGAAAAGTGGGGGCTCTTCTGATTCTCTCTCTCTAGGGTTCGTTCCCTCTCTCCCTCCCTTTCATTTTACTGTTCCTTTTAAGTTTCATAATTGTTCAAGTATTTGATTTTTCTTTCCATAATTAGTTCATTAATCCAATCTAATCCTAAAGTACGAACAGAGATTTAAAATCCCAGTAAAAAAAATCGTCCCCTGTTCTTGCACTGTTTTCTGCAACTAACCCAGATTCTTCCTGCTCTTAAATTCTTTTCAGTTCCTCGTTTTACAGCTTGATTTTGTGTTTTTCCATCTGGATTTTTTCTGGGTTGTTCAATTTTTCTGAGATTCTTGGAAGTCCGGCAGATTTTTGGAGAAGATGAAGTCGAATCAAAGGCAGAGCCTTGAAGAAAGCAACGAGCTTGAACACGGCGGCGACAGTAACAACACTACCACCACCACCTCAGTGTCCGGCCCATTAGTGGCGGACCCACCGGCGACGGCGCTGACGATGAAGGAAGAGCTGTCGGACCCAGTTCAACATTTAGACCCGCAGGGATCTCTGTCCATGGGGATTGTTCCGGTACCCGTTTCTACGGCGCTGAAACCGGCTAGGAGGTCGTCGAAGGACCGCCACACGAAGGTGGAGGGCCGGGGCCGGAGGATCCGAATGCCCGCCGTGTGTGCAGCCAGGATTTTTCAACTGACCCGGGAACTCGGCCACAAGTCCGACGGCGAAACCATAAGATGGCTACTGGAGCACGCCGAGCCTGCTATCATTCAAGCCACCGGCTCAGGTACCGTCCCCGCTATCGCCATCTCTGTCGGCGGCACTCTAAAGATACCCACTACTTCCCCTGCGAGACCCAACGGTGAAATTACTGAAATACCCAATAAGAGAAAGAAGATGAGAGGTTCCACGGATGAGTTCATTGACGCGCACGACCAGAACTCTCTGCCTAGTGGGTTGGCACCCATAGCACCAATGACGTACGGTGGCGGTGGAGGTGGAGGTGGCTTTGTGCCTATGTGGCAAGTCGGAGCAACCGGCGCGGCTGGGCCTTTCTTCATGTTTCCGAACTCCGGGGCGATTCAGAACCAGCCTCAGCTCTGGGCTATTCCGACGGCGGATTGTACGACACCGATTTTCAATTTCCAACCCAGACCCATGTCCAATTTCGTCTCTGCATTCCAACCTGGGGTTCAAGTTGGTGGTGTTAGCGGCGGAGATGGGCAGTTGCAGGCTTCTTCGGGCTCGATTTCGAGCGGCACAGCCGCAGGTGGTGGTGGGAGTTGCTCTTCTAGTTTGGGACACAGTTTGGACTCGGCCTCGGGGACCAGTGCTGTAGCCGCCGCTGCTGCTCCGCCGAGCTCCGCAACTCAGATGCTGAGGGATTTTTCGTTGGAGATTTATGATAAGAAGGAGCTTCAGTTCATGGGGCAGGCTGCAAATGCACAAACGACATATTCGGAATCTTGAATCGGAGTTTTAAGTCAACTAATTTATAGGGTTTTTAGAGGGTTTAGGCCGTTATGGTAAGATGCACAAACTAATTCTGTTTTTGCTTTGTCTCTGTGGGTTTTACTAATCAAAAGTCCTCTTTCGGCTTTTGCCTCTACTTTGTGGCCGTAGGTTCAAAGTTTGCATTTCTTATCAAATAAATAGCCTCTGCAACAATCTACATGTAATGTATCAACCAAATTGATCGTTCTAGTAACAATTATGATTTGCGGTTAGTACTCAATGGTTTCATATTAGAGAAGTAATTAATAAGAAATAAGTACGTTAATTGACAAAGTTAATGATATTCATGTTATGTTTTTGTATTACATTTTCATACCATTTTAGTAACATTTGATATGGACATCCACATCTTTTGAATTAATCAGATTTTTAAATTTAATTCATTATTTAATAAACTAATAATTGAAAAAAACTATTTAATTAAATGATGATTATAGCATGCGAGGAGGAGTCTTTCTTATTCATTTATTTGGATTTTGCAAATTTTTCAAATGATATGGTTATCCACATCAGATGTCATCTAAGACGGTATAAAAATATGGTATAAATAATATTACTCAATTGACATTTAATTAATAATTTAATCATATACAACCACATCAATTAGTTTGTAAATTTGATTCAGAAAATTTAGTTCGCAAGTATTACTCTAACAAATTTAATCCTTGTAAAATTTCTTACAAATTTAATACGTATTAATTAACGTTTGAGACTATAGAAACACTTATCGATTTACGATGAATATTACAGAAGCCGCACATAAAAAGAATGCGAAAGATTTAATCACTAGAAAGCTCAAAGTAGTCGCTCTAGATTTGAGTTGTACACGTGCAAGTTTTGTGGGGGTCAACAAAAGAATACTGAGATGGGCCACGAAGTGCGGTCATGCGATCGGACCACGTGTCCATAGGAATGCGGGTCCGGCTGCTTTTGTTCTAACTGCTGACCCCTCGTGGAACGTGGTGGTCCCTGCCCATCGTTTTAGCATTCCAGGCTGTCCCTCGCAACACGTGTCCTTGATTAGGTGTTCTTCTGATTGTAGTATTGTGGGCAATCCTCACCAAGACGTGGTAAACGGGCCGGGTCAGTGTACATCTAAAAGGCCCATTAACATGTGTGTACTCAAAAGGCCTGGCAGTGATTGGATTTGGGGTTTTGCCTGTATTCAGAAGGCTTTTCTTTTTTCCTTTTAAAAGAAAAAAAAGGAGAACAACGGATGGC